CCGCACCCCCATCTCCTACCTACTAACCTCATCCCACCCCCTTGACCTGTCCGTCCTCCCTGGACTGACCTATCTCCTCCCTACCTCCCCACCTACATTCACTTTTACTGGCTCCATCCCCGCCTCTTTGACCTGTCTGTCTCCTCTCCACCTATCTTCTCCTCTATCCATCTTCTATCCGCCTCCCCCTCTATCCCTATTTATTTCAGAACCCCCTTCCCCTCCCCCATTTCTGAAGCAGGGTCTAGGCCCGAAACATCAACCTTCCTGCTCCTATGATGCTGCTTGGCCTGCTGTGTTCATCCAGCTCTACACCTTGTTATCTAAGTTTCTTCCCATGTGGCTTCTCACTTTCACTGATTCCTTTCTCCCTCTGGTCACTGACTCTCCTGCCACAACACTTTCTCCTCACTGACTGGAGTGATCTAAACCCCTCATGTTCTTTAACACCTTGATTAAATCCTCCCCTCCCTTAACCTTGCTGTCCTAGTTGCCCTGAGAAGGTGGTGGTGAGCTGCCTTTTTGAACCGCTCAGTCCATGTGCTGTAAGTAGACCCACAATGCCCTTAAGGAGGGAATTCCACGATTTTGGCCCAGCGATAGTGCAGGACTGACATTAAATTTTAAGTCAAGATGGTGAGTGGGTTGGAGGTAACTTGAAGGTGCTTGTATCTGCTGCCCTTGTCCTTCCAGATGGAAGTGGTCATGGGTTTGGAAGGTGCTGTCAAAGGATCTTTGGTGAATTTCTGCATCTTGTAAATAGTACACACTGCTGCTACTGAGTATCAGTGGTGGAGGGAGTTGATGCTTGTGGATGTTGTACCAATCAAGAAAACTGCTTTGGCCTGGATCATTTCAAGCTTCTTGAGTGTTGTTGGGGCTGCACCCATCCAGGCAAGTGGGGAGTATCACACTCTTGACCTGTAGATGGTGGACAGGCTTTGGGAGTCAGGAGGTGAGTTACTCGCTACAATATTCCTAGCCTCTGACCTGCTGTTGTAGCCACTGTGTTTATGTGGTGAGTCCAGTTGAATTTCTGGTCAATGGTAACCCCCAGCATGTTGATAATGGGGGATTCAGTGATGGTAACACCATTGAATGTCAAGAGACAATGGTCAGATTGTCTCTTATTAGAGGTGGTCATTGCCTGGCATTTGTGTGGCACGAATGTTCCTTGCCACTTGTCACTCCAAGCCTGGATATTGTCCAGATCTTGTTACATTTGAACATGGACTGCTTCAGTATCTGAGGAGATGCGAATGGTGCTGAACATGGTGCAATCATTGACGAACATCCCCACTTCTGACCCTATGATGGAGGGAAGGTGTTTTTTGTGATATCCAGATTTGCAGTCAGTTAGAAGCAAGTGTGCTCATAGCTGGACCTCAGTGTAAACTGGCCACAAAGATTGATGATCTCTTTGAGATAGCAAGAAGTGCAGATTCTGAAATCAAAGTTAATACAGTGTGGAGCTGGAGGCACACAGCAGGTCCTGATGAAGGGTCCAGGCCCGAAATGTCGACTTTCCTGCTCCTCTGCTGCTGCCTGACCTGCTGTGTTCATCCAACTCCACACTTGAGTGATCGGTTTCTCTGATGTGGATTTTCCTTTTCCAGCAGCAGTTTGAATCTGGTGCCAGGCCAAAGGGAGAGAGAGATTGCAGACAATCACATGGCAGTGTTACAATAGAACAAAAGGCCACAGTATTAATATAGAAACTTTCATTGACATTGTCAGAGAGTGCACTCAATGATTATGTTATAATAAAGATACAAACTCAAACAGAAACACAAACTTATCAATAAAATGAACGATATGTGGCTGTTCTTATGAAGCAATTTGACACAATTACCAAATGCAAGATTTGGTCTCTGGGCCGTTGAGGGTGTTTTTCTGTAATTCTGAAGTTAGTGGCCAATTAAAGGCCAGTTTAATGTCATTCAAAAATGTGTAACATTATCGGGAGTTTTTGCAACATGTCCAACAGTTTTGAGGTGGAGGTTTTTTTATCAGTTCAGGCTGTAATGGAAGGTGTGGAACCCCACCAGAAGATGTGTGCAGTACCTGCACAGAGTTTAATGTATGAAACCCTCAGGGGATGTGATGTAGACATACAGAGAGTAACATGTGGGATTTCCACATTATTCAACGTTTGTGGATTCCCATGGCTGCGTTCGGTTTCATGGGAGCAGTGATGATGAGCATACTGCTGACTGCTACTATCACTGCAAAATCCAGGCCATTAATTATTGGATACATGGCTACAGGGAATATCTATGTGATCAGATCATTCCCTCAACTTGACCAAAAATGTCACTAATCTGTGATCATTTTGCTTTCCAGGGGGTGACGGGAATGGACGGGCACCATGGACCAAAAGGCAGCCAGGTACGTACTGCCTTCAGTCTCTCGGAGATGGAGCATTTGGGCATTGGGGATGGAGGCAAGGACACAGGGATAGGGGCATGGAGGGGCACAGCATGGGAGGAAGGGTTGGAGAGGCAAGGCATGGGAGGAAGGGCACAGGGATAGGGGCATGAAGGAAGAGGCATGGGGGCACAACATGGGGGGAAGGTGCTTGGAAGGGTAAGGCTGGGGGAAGGGCATGTGGCGTGAGGGTTACAGAATGGAGGTGGATGATTGTAATTCTGTCCTCTCGCTCTCTTGAGCGTGTGTGTGAGGGAGTGAGTGAGTGAGTGTGCGTGAGGAAGTGAGTGAGAGTGTGTGAGGGAGTGTTTGTGAGAGAGTGAGTGTGTGTGAGGGAGTGAATGCGTGTATGTGAGGGAGTGAGTGTGTGTGAGGAATTGAGTGAGTGTGTGTGAGGGAATGAGTGAGTGTATGTGAGGGAGTGTGAGTGTGTGTGAGGGAGTATGTGTGAGGGAGTGAATGAGTGTGTGAGGGAGTGAGTGAGTATGTGTGTGAGGGAGTGAGTATGTGAGAGGGAGTGAGTGAGTATGTGAGCGGGAGTGAGTGAGTGTGTGAGGGAGTGAGTGAGTGTGTATGAGGGAGTGTGAGTGT